CCCACTATATTCACTTTCTCTCCTCTCCTCCCACCGATACATCTAAACAACCACAAAATCCATAGCTAATAATTGAGTGTTTGGCGCAGAGCGATCACCCAACTACTCCCCTTACCCACCGCAAACAGAATATTAGCCATAGGTGGCTAGGTAGCTACAGAACGCGCACCTGCGAAGGAAACAGCGCCACCAGTCATCCTTTTGCTATTTTAAGTAAGTATCTCAAGCAAGCAAACCATTGCATTTATGAGTTTATGAGTTTTAAAGAGATATCCCATATTGTATACATGCTCATCCATCTTTAATTGTATTAATATTGTTGAGATATTAAATAGATAGATAAATAGATTTCTTAAAATATATTACCTAGATAATATGTATCCTAAATCTAAATACTCATTGATCTGTATTACTAGTAGCCACCATCGATACTACTTGTACTAAATACCTATTCCCTCACCAATATCAAATTTCTCTTCCTTTTCCCAAATTATATATCTATTAGTTTAGTACTCATACTCAACTCTCTAATTCATCATCTACTAGATAGTTAAATGTACTTATTGTTTGATCAATATAAGTCTAATATTGAATATTATCTCGTGTATATATTTTACTCTTTCTTTCTTTTCCTTCTTCTCCTCTTCTCCTCTCTGTTATTCAGTTATTCTTTTATTTTCTTATGTTTTAATAATAATATCCTCCCTAACTTCTCAAACTCTCAATTCTCAAATTCTCAAATTCTCAACTCAATTTTCATCCCTCAAACTCCCCAAACTCTTAAAACCCCAATATTCCAAATTCCTAAACTTATCAACTTATATCTCTTATTCTTATCATCATCCTCAACTCTAGACTTATATCACCTCATCCTCATCCTAGATTCTCAAGTCTCAACTATCAGCTTTCAACTCTTCAAAATCCCAAACTCACACGTTTTATCTCCCTCCTCATCTCATCTCCTCTCTTATTCCGTTATCATTATTCTTTAATATCCTCAACCCTCATCTCTCAACTCTCTACATTCCAAAATTCCAAAATCCTAAACTCTTAAAATTCTAAACTCACATCCCTTATTCTCATCCTCATCCTTCCCTTCTTCCTCTCCGCTCAACAATATCCTTCCTCAACTCTCAAAATATTATTCTACATCCATCTTCCAACTTCCAATTTAAATCAACTTACACCAACTGGAATCACTTCATATATCTATAACTCATATCCATTCATATATCCATATATCCATCAATCATACACACTCATCCATTATATACTCTATCTACCTATCATAGAACCACCTACCTACCTATCTACCTAGGTATAGTATCCACTTCTCTCTTCTAATAATTTTCTTCTTGTACTTAATTTTCTCCCACTCCCGCCATTCATTCTCATTTTTCCAACTTCACATTTATTCCGCCTATTCTTCCTCTTCCCTTCACCCTCTTCTATTCCCCCCTTTCCTTTCACTCTTCCCCTTCTGCCCCTAAACCATTAATCATTATATACATGTAATTACTCCACCCCACTCCACCCCACTCCATCCCATCATATCTATTAAATCCTTATTTTATCCTATCCCCTTTGTCATTTCTCATCCCCTCGCAAATCTCAAAGCCGCAAATCTCATCCCCCCTCAAATCCCCAATCTGGTGTTTCCAAAGAAGAAGAAAAGGGGATAGTTAGGAAATAAAAAAAGGTTTAATGAATAAGAGTTTTCGAATTATCAAGGATTATCTCAATACTACTACCTGATGTACTGATACCTTTTATCGAGTGTATGATATACGGATTCATTTTATAAATTATTGATAAATCCCCGCCCCTTCATTCTAACAAAAAAGAGGAGTAAACCAAGAATCATATATATATCACAATTTTCATCTCATTTCATTTCTTCATTTCCTCATGAACTTAAATATTAGCTAATATCTAGCAAAAGCAAAAATGTAATTCCGATTCCGAAAAATAAGTATTTGGAAAGCTGAAGTACCTATCTATAGCTATAAGTTATTATGTTATTACGAACGTGTAATGTGCAATATGATATAATACGATCCAGCTATACTACACTACAACGAAAATGCAAATATTCCTTCTTATCCCATATACATAGCCAGCCTGATTAAATTGCTCTTCGAACGAACCCTTGAAATCCATGCTATTGTTTTGAGATTAGCTATCCTTTTTTCTTTCTCTTTTTTTTGCAAGGCAACAAGAGTAGTGTTTTATTTTGCATCCGAACCCTCAAGTCTATCCGGCCATTACGAAATTACTCATCTTTTTTCGCAACGTAGTAATAGTAATGTTTTGCACTAGGTTGTACTCTAGCTTCTAGTTCCGATGGTTTTCGCTTCTGAAGTACTCTTGCACTCAATAAATCCTGGACAAATTTCTCGATGCAATCTAAAGCGACATCTAATGTTAATGACTTATTTGGTCGGGCGCATTTCATCAAAGCCTGTTCGGGGATCTGTGTTAGGAATCGACCGGATATACCGAGTTTATTCTTTGCGGTGGGAGAGTTCAATTGCATGATGATGTTGAGTAACTTGCCGGTGGCAGAATCGTTCTGGAAGGCTGAATAGAGCGTGGCTTCTTGCCAGGATTGTATCAACTGCGTGGGATCGAGGAGGGTCGATAGATCGGCAATGATGATCTCTCTTCTCACGAGCTCTAACACACTGGCTTTTAAGATCTTGTATTGGGATTCCTCCGATGGTGGCTGAAATGGAATTTGAATGGCGCATCGATCGACAAATGCTTCGTCAAGACAATCGATCATGTTTGAAGTCGACATGAAAACAACATTTGGACATGTCATGACCCGATCGAATCCAGTGAGTAGAGCATTGGTAGCTCGTAGTGAATCTTGAGCTTCTCCATGCATAACACCAGAGTGCCTGGATACAGCAATGGATTCAACCTCATCAATCAATACAATGATGATGCGTCTTGGGTCGTTTTGGCACATAATTTTGACCTTGGTAAGTAAATCATCGACTTGAGTCGCACTTTCGCTATAGTATTTGGATAGAAGAGTCGCTGTCTTGACTTGGATGAGTTTCGTATGTGGAAATGTTTCGACCAAACGAATGGCTAATCGTTGTGCAATTGCTTGGCAAATTGTTGTCTTTCCAGTTCCTGGAGGACCTAAAATTGACGAGGCACCACCTAGCCATCATTGCACAAATGGCAATGATGGTCATTGGCAGCCCCATAAACATTAGAATTAACTCTAACTATTACGAGTGCCGTGGATTGTGAAGGACCCACCATAAAACAAAGCCATTGGATTCATTCTCTTCTTTGCAGGTCCAGCATCCGCGGAAAAGGTGACTATTTGACGTCAATCAGCATTCAACGAACATTAATATTCCAGAAAGATGTACGTACGCATGTTTGATATCATCCACGAGAGATCTTCCTTGTGATTTTGATCAAATATAAGCCTGTGCAGTATTAGCCGACAAGAACGTTTGATGTACATTATTTCAAATTTACTCCTCCCATTTACCATCAAAGTCGTGATGAGGCATATCGAAAACTTCAGCAGATGGTATCTCTGGATCATCATATGCATCATTTGAATTCGTGCTATCGGAGCCTTCAAATGAACGTGGTGGTGGTGGTGGAACACCATGCATCTTGTAGACACAAAAACGGCTCAATACATCTCGAAGTGTAAGATGGCTTGGTTTTTCTTGATTTTCAATGGCAATGATCTCGACTGGTACTAGAGACTCTATCTCTTGACTCGCCCATAACTTCCAAGCATCACTCAATTCTGTAGATGAGAGATAAGAGTTTATTCCAACAACGAAAATCATATCATGCAGGAAGACTTACGTGCGAGGAGAGGCAACATGTCAATATCAATGTTGCAGATGATATTCTCAACTTCTAGCTCTTGTATGAGTTCAGAGAGTTGAGTGTGAGCCTAATGTATCAAGTGTTAGTTGGACTATCAAACCGAAATTGGGATTTTCTTTCTCCGTACAAGTTTCAAGTGATTGGAATTCAATTCATCCTCGATACACGTTCGGAGTCTTGCCTCAAAAATGACAGTGGGCCTTTCAGAAATTGGCAGGGTGGGACCATTATTCTCCATTGTGACTCGATTTATTATCTCACTTTTATCATATCAGAGGTACGATGGTAATATAAGTGAGAATCGATGTTGATGTGAGGAGTATCAGTAAAATAGAGTTTGATGAGATGAGGAAGAGTACGGGTTAATGAAATGTAAATGTATAAAAATGAGGATGGTTGCATGAAAACATAGATGGGAAAGTGAAGGTGAAGGAGAGGGTGAAGGATAAAATGTACATGATGAAAAATCACGCTAGAGGGAGGAATAGGTAGGTAGGTAGACGACGGGGAAATACCAAGTATTGCTTAAGTAACACCTGACTGATTGACTTACAATTAGACTACCTAGTAGTATTTGGTAACTTTGGCATCTATTAATGGAACCAATTGTTTTCTGTTTTCTGTTTTCTTGAGGCTTTATTGAACTCTCCGTCCAAATATCTACCTAGTAAGCGGCTTTTACAGTTGATTTGAACATCATGAGGTTTATTCTCGACTATGCCGCCTAGGTAGATGAGAACAGAACCGTTCAATGTTCACGTAGAGTTTAAACATTTGAATCGTATCTACCTAGATACAAACTTGATGCTTTGAAAAGGATGAGATAACATAGCTTGGGTATATGTATGGGATTACCTATAAGACAATTACTGAATATCATCTCCATCATGTCCGATCTGAACAATATCTGCCTGAATAAGCTCTGTTGTGTTTTAAAAGACCGTATGTAAATGAAGCACCTCTCGTAACCATCTAACACTGCAAAAAGTATACTACTTACTCACTCTGTCCGATATATATCATCCAATCTCTCCCTTACTCTCTCATCTATCTTTCTATCCTATACAAATCTCCCCTCCAAAAATCTTTCCCAAAACCCCAAATATCGAAAAGAATCCAAAAAAAATGTCCGGCACGAGGAATTGAACCCCGACCTTCCGAAACCTTTCTAAAGGTCAACATTCACCATGTATAAGGTATGAATATGAGTAATGGGAGACGGAAATGCTAACTATTACACCATGCCGGATTGTCTGTGCTTGATATAGAAGGAGTGGTTTTATTGGGATATAAAGGAAAGAATCGGAAAGGACTGATACTGATATCAAGGAGAGACGTTTTGCTCAACTAACACTCTGCCGGAGAGGGCTGCTGGCTTGCTAATTTGAGGTAGCGATATTCTTTTAAAGAACACTGGTTTATTAGTTTCTATGGAAAGAAAATATCAGATATGAGATAGAAATATATGAGGCTCCGCTTGGCCACTGGTACTGCTGTGAAGGCCTTCTCGCTTCACTCGATGAGGAATTGGGAGAAGAAGAACAGCGAGTCGATTTAGATTGAAATGACATCAAACGTTAACCATTGATATGGGCATCGAATATCGTAGAGGAAATTAGACTCAATCATATATCCCAAAAAGACCAAACAATTCGTTGTCAAGAGGGTTTGGAAACGTCTTTAGAGTGAAGAGTACCTATTTGATGATGATGTGGGGTGCTTCAACATTTATGCGCACTCAACGTGATTGACCTCCCGTTCCTGGCTAAAGCCCAGCCCCGCTTACATAATAATAAGCTTGTGAATCCAACTCGTCATAGCTTGGCAATCCATCACCGCCTGTAGAAAAGATGGATTCTTAATTGTCTACTCGTATTTGTTTGTTTACTTTGTTGGTGATGTTTTCCTTTCAATAATCCGAAAGTCTGCCAAAAACTCATCATGGCTTCCATCATGGATGCCTCAAGAGCTCCAGAAAAGAATTGTACAGCATATGACCCTACAAATGTTGAAGGACAACAGACTGCGATATATGTTCAACTCGTCCTTTCACTAACCCTCGGCGTTTCTGCATTCTTTGGATTCTGTGTAAGTCATGACAAGAGTAGGTTTAGAAAGAACTTTTGCTAATGTTTGCAGATCCTGCGACCAAAATGGAAAAGTTTATATGCCGCGCGCAAAAGGCATGTCGATGCCGCCGCAAGTCTGCCAGAGCTGCCGGATACCTTTTTTGGTTGGATGCCTGTTTTGTATAGAGTTACAGAAGAACAAGTCCTTGCATCTGCTGGATTGGATGCATATGTCGTATGTCTTGAGAATCTACTACTCCCGGATAAATGCACGATACTAATCTCATCTAGTTCCTATCCTTTTTTAAGATGTCGATGAAACTATTCGGGATCATGTTCATCATGGCAATTGCTATTCTTGCCCCAATCAATCAACACTTTTATTACGTATTCGACCCGTTCGGAAATTCAACAAGCCCTCCAGATATTCCAGATTACTCGCGATTAGAGGGTTGGCATGGCGGATGGAATGATGCCTTAACTTTGGAGGCGCCAAAAGACTCCGACGACATACTACCTGAGACCAGCTACCTTTGGTCATACCTAGTGTTCACTTATGTCTTTACTGGACTCGCAATATATTTTATGAATACACAAACCCACCGCGTAATAAAGATTCGCCAAGACTACCTTGGAAGCCAATCCACGATTACCGATCGAACAATTAAACTATCTGGAATACCAGTGGAGTTGAGGTCCGAAGAAAAGATCACCGAGTTCTTGGAGAAACTCGAAATAGGAAAAGTGGAAAGTGTAACTTTATGTCGTAATTGGAAAAGGCTCGATGATATGATGGACAAGAGGGTGCAGGTTGTTAGGCGGCTAGAAGAGGCATGGACGGTATACCTAGGCCAGCAACAACGTTCAAGTATAGGGCCAATACGGACACAGCAGTCAACACCGGGAGAAGATGCAGAGGATGAGTCGCAAGGTCATGAGGGTGATAATTTACTAGGGACCAATCACATTACCTCGTATGACCAACCAAGACCGACTACACGGATCTGGTACGGTTTTCTCAATTTCCAAAGTAGGAAAGTAGACGCGATCGACCACTACGAAGAACAGCTACGACAGCTAGATGACATGATCACAGATGCGAGAAAGAAGGAGTACGAGCCTACAGCGCTTGCATTTGTCACTATGGACTCAATCCCTGCTTGCCAGATGGCCGTGCAAGCTTTACTTGATCCAACCCCAATGCAGCTGATGGCAAGACCAGCTCCTGCTCCATCGGATATTGTTTGGACAAATACTTATCTGCCTCGATCCAATCGCATGATTCGTTCTTGGGCGATCACTCTCTTCATTCTCATCCTCACTATCTTTTGGCTCATTCCAGTGGCTGCTCTGGCAGGTCTCGTTAGTCTTTGTTCGATTCGACAAGTTTGGCCTGGGCTTGCAGATGTATTGGAAAGCCATGACATCCTTAAGGCTTTGGTTCAGACTGGCTTGCCTACACTTATTGTCTCGTTACTCAATTTGGCAATTCCATTCTTGTATGACTACCTTGCAAATATGCAAGGATCAATCTCTCAAGGCGACGTAGAGCTTTCCGTCATATCGAAAAACTTTTATTTCACATTTTTCAATGTATTCCTGGTTTTTACGGTCTTTGGTGCGGCGAGCAAATTCTGGCCGGTCTTACAGGAGACATTGAAGGATACCACAAAGATTGCATATACTCTAGCCCAATCGATTTCCGATCTCTCCATGTTCTACACCAATTTCATCCTCTTGCAGGCTCTCGGACTTTTACCTTTCAGGTTGTTGGAATTTGGAAGTGTTTCCCTGTACCCTATCACATTAATGGGTGCCAAGACTCCTAGAGACTATGCTGAGCTAGTACAACCGCCGATTTTTAGTTACGGATTTTATCTGCCTTCAGCACTTCTCGTCTACATTCTATGTATTGTCTATAGCATACAGCCAGCAGGATATCTCGTCCTCCTATTTGGGATGGCATACTTTGCTTTAGGCTATTACACCTACAAATACCAGCTCTTATATGCTATGGACCATCCGCAGCATGCTACTGGGGGTGCTTGGCCTATGATTGTGTATCGTCTTCTTGTCGGCTTGGGCTTCTTTCAACTTACCATGGCTGGAGTAATTGCGCTAAGAAAGGCTTTCACCCCGGCTATACTTGTTGTCCCTCTGATACCATTCACAATCTGGTACAGTTATTATTTCCGACGAAACTTCCAACCACTCATGAAATTCATCGCCTTGAGAAGTATCAGAAGAGATAGCAATCCAGACATTAATATCGCTGGCGAAGATATCGGCATTAATAGACCTCCAGGACATATTCAGAGAGGTACTACCGTTGACGAAGCCAGGGAAAGAGGGACGAGATACATCAATCCAAGTCTCACTGTACCGTAAGTAACTTCATAGTAGAGCTACCTTTCCATACTGACAATACGTAGGTTAGAAAAGATTTGGATCAATAAGGCCCCAGATTCCGAGCCCAATGAAAGCACTCCACAATTAGATCGTGAGGAATCTGCCGCAAGCTCTATAAGTCTTGGGGACACTCACATTTGGCGAGAAGCTAGTGACACAAATGTGTGATGAAGTTGTAAATGATAGAATATCCTTTTGTTAGCTTGAGACATTTCTTTTAACGATAAATTTCATATTGATGGCATGAATGGAGTTTTTGGTATTGTTATTAAGAGAGGATGGGCCTTCCTTATGTAATTTGGCATTGTTTTAAGAATATACCCAATGCTCTTTCCTGAACAAATTGCTTCTTTCCTATTAGGCTTTATCTGTCCAGAACTTATTATCTATTCTCATTCTTCCAATGCACATCGTGCATTTTCAAGAATTATCCTTTACCTCTTCATTGCAATTTAGTGCGATGATACAACAGTCTCCATACCTAAAATATCATTTTTATTTCTTCAACATTCGTTAGTGAGAATCCTAAACAGTACAAAAATAAAAATTAAACAGTAATGCCAATAATTTCCTACCACTCAACTATCATCAAGAACAGAGCCGCCCATCCGGGGGCTGTCGACACGACGTCTTCTCAGATTCTCTTATCAAGAGCGATCGCAGATCACAGTTCAACTTCTCGCCCGCCAGTTATCAGAAGACTATACTCTACAATTGCTGTCACGTCTGTTTACGAGTCCCCAACAAGTCATATCATGACGATTGGAGACGCGGCCAGCACGTCGAAAGATGTAGGATTGGATGGTGAGCAAATGGGGGAGTATAGTGGTACGTAGCTCTTTAGCTGCTTGTGGGTGGTTTGCGACTAGAAGGGGTGTTCTAACGTTTTGATGTTTTGATGTTTTTAGGCCCCGCGAGCAGACGATACCCATCGGTTCCAGGAGTGGCTGATGCCTCTAAACGCCATAGTCTACGTGCAGCATCCGATCTAGTAAGTTTACCTTCCTTGAATAACTATGTTCTTCTATCATAGCTGCGTGTGCTTTAGACCCCTAATAAAGTTTTGAGATTCGAGAACTAACTTAGGAATTTGTAGGTCACTTCAATTAATGATACGGTTGTCGATCCCCCTTTCCCACTCAATCCGTGGGAACTTCCTCAACTTGATTCTGTCCTAGATGAACAAGAGAAACGTGATAAAGGAAAAGAAGTTGAACGTGGAAGAACATTGGAGCGAAGCCCAAGATATTCGAATCCTCTCGCAAAGGCCGAATCACGACCTCAAAGAAACAAAACAACCATTGAGGTGGATGGTCGGTCAATAAGAACACGCGATCGAAGCCAAACTCTTCATGAAAACCCAAACGATCCGTGCGCAATATTTGATGACCAGGTATTGGAACCCTTAAGAGGTATAGCCCAACAAGATAGTTTTTCGGAAGTACTTAGCGGACATGCATCTCCAGCAAGTTTGAATGGCTCCCTCGACGCGAAAGAATTAAAGGGGCGACTTCGATCTAGAACTTCTGGGGGAAGCTCCCTGGGCTCAACTATATCTCCCATTGAACCACTCACTCGGACAGTCACAACTGTTTACAATGATTCCTCTCCTGTTTCCCCAGACCCGACCTTACCAGTCGAATCTTCTTCTTATCGACTACCTAGTATTGATCGACTAGAAGAATCTGCTCGTCAATCGACATCATTCACTTTTTCAGAACTGCCAACGGAAATCATTCAACAAATATATGATTATCTTACACCTGCTGAT